ACAGGGTGGGCAAGGGAACTGGACGAGCGTGAGGGTCCAGGGAAGACCTGGGAGGGGCCGAGTGCCTTCCACAGGTGGGGGCAGTGGCTCACCCCACAGACCGAGGACCAGCACCCAGGCTCCAGCCGTTGCCCCTGCCGCCATCCTGCCTCCTGTCCAGGCTCCTGGCTGTCTGCCTCTTGCTGCTGTGGCCACTGCCCTAGGTGGGGCTTGTACCCTCTCCCCTGCCCCCATCTCCCGGTCCTGTCCTGGCACAGGGAATGCTAGGAATTCATGACTCTCGGATAAGAGTCCTTCAGATACTAGAAACAGTGATCACCCCACCCCTGGCACTGCCACACTTGTGGGGGTGGGGAGTGCATCTTCTAGGGCCTCTCAGGCCCTCGGGACCCCCAACCTGACCATCAGTCTGCCGAGGGCTACCTGGTGGGCCACTGGAGCCCATCTTCGGACACAAGGCTGCCAGGCCAAAGGGTTCAGGCCAGGCTGTCTCCCATGGCAGAGGCCCGGCTGGAACATGGGGCCTGGGTGGTGAGGGCAAGGCTGGTAGACTCAGGGAAAATCCTTTTGGGCTTTTATGAAGAGAAAAGTATTTTCTTCCTGGGGATTCTTGTTTTTGAAAATAATTCTCAACTAAACCCAGGGGAAAAATTTCTTTATTTAAAACTGCTTTTTTTTTTTCCTGTGAAACTATAAGTTTACAAGTGAGGAGAGAACTGCCCAAACCCGTGCCCGTGCCTCCCGCCCCCGCCCATCAGTCCCAGCCTGCCCACAGTCCTGCTGGGTCTTTGCCGGGAGGGCTTCCCACGGTGACAGTCTGTGAAATCCTGGCGATGCTGGAGGGGTTCAGGGCCAAGGATGGGGCAGCAGTGACTTGACTTCCCTCTGTCCTCTCCCTACCCTCATGATTTTGGACTGAGAACAAAGATACCTCATTTCTGGGGAAACTGAGGGAGATACAGACACACAAGCACCCCAACCCATTCTTATTTCACAATAACCCTTCCCCCTTCTCCCCTCCAACCTGCAGAGTTAAAAAAAAAAAAGACATGTCACAGGGGAAGGTGGCACTGCCTCCAAGTGACTGTGCCCAGCCCTGCCCAAGGGGTGAGAGAGGAGGGAGAACAGGCCACCAAGCAAGCGCCCAGCTGCCTCCCCACCACGGGCAGCAGGAGCTGCCTCAGCAGCTGAGAACTCCTGGGGTTTTAAAGCAGAGGAGGGGACCTAAGTGATCTGGGGGGCGGGCGTGGCGCCCTGCTAATGTACTTCTGTGGACAGGAGCCAGCCGGGCCTCTGCACCGGTTCTGCTGGCTCCCCTTTGTCTTATCATGACCCCTTTCACTATCACCCCTAATATGGGAAAGCCAGTAATTAAGATAAAAAGAAATCAACATATAAAAACATCTACTTCCCCAAACTCAATTAAAAATGAAGAACCAACAACAAAACACCCCCAAAATACAGATGGATCCCAGGGATTTTTTCTTCCCTAAAAAAGAAGGTTCAAACCCCAAACCCAGTTAACAATTCCCAATTCCCTAAAGTAGCAGAAACTCCCTCCGAGGTAGATATCTGAGTCAGACACTCTCGTTCACCGAGCAATTCTATTGGTTTAAGATGAGCTGCATATGAGGTAATAAAGCCGCCTGGAGGGGGAGGGGTGGAGGCCTGGGGCGTGGCCAGGTCATCTGTCCAGAAGTTGTGTCCCCATTTTTGGCATCTCTGGTAGGTAGGGCAAGGCTGGCGTCTCCACAGATCCCAGAGCAGATAAGGGGTGGGGGAGGGAGAATGGGTGAAGAGAGAGAGAGAGAGAGAGAGAGAGAAAGAGAGAGGGAGAGAAACAGAATAGTTGTGTATGTGTCCATGAGAGAGAGAAACAGAATAGTCGTGTATGTGTCTATGAGAGAGAGAGGATCTGAAAGATAGGATTCTGGGTGTGTTTCTGTGTAAGAAATGGGGAGAGAAAAAGCTTGAAAAGAAGGGAAAAAAGGGGAGACAGACCCCACCTTCCCCTTAGGGGACCCCCTTCTCCTTGCCATGTAGTCAGCAACCCCAGCACTGAGTCGGCTGGGGTAGGGCGACCCCATTTGCCCTTCTCCATCTTGTGCTTCTCCTGTGTCTGGGGCTTGTCCTCTGGATGCCTTTGTCCTCTGTCAAGAGTCACCTCTGAGCCCCCACCCTGTGGCCTGAGGGGTGAGATCAGTTGGAAGTGTCGGAATGAACGCTCCCTGGCCCCTCTGTTGGGGACGTCACTGAGGACGGGGTCACAGCCTCCTGCCAGCCGCCGTTCGCCTGGAAAGAAGATAGTTGGGGTGAGGCTCTGAACCTAGTGGGGGCGGTGCTGCCGGGAAGGCACTGGTGCTGGGGAGGTGGGGGGGCTGCAGGGGTCCGCTCACCCTCATTTCCCGGGGGCTGTACATCTGGCCTCCCCCGAGACTATCTCCGTAGCCCCCGGGGCCCATCGAGTGTCGGAGTGACTCCACCTACGGCACAAAGGCAGGCATGACAGACAGTGAGACGCCTCAGAAGGAACCACTGGCGTGCTGAAGGGGGGAACCGAGTGTGTGGAACCTGCTCGGAGAGGGGCATCTGACCTGGGAGGCAGGGTACGAGTCTCCGTTGAGCCCGGGCATCCCCAGAAACATGTCTCCGGATCCTGAGAGGTTGAAAGAGCCGCCAGAGCCTTGGGGGAGCAGAGAAGGAATTAGGGACGAAAAGTCTGTGTGGCAGACAGACACACCACCGTTTCCCAAAAGCCCTGGGAACTAGCCCTGTGGGGGGTGCCGCTGCGCACACACTCCACACGGCAACACCAGCATCAAGGGCCAGCTCCCAGCCTTCCGGCCACTGGCTGGACGAGAGGCAAGACGTAACTCGGCTGGAGTGGCCTGTGTCCGACATCCCCACCCCATCTCAGCTTGGTCTCTGTTACCCCCAGAAGCCCCCACCCTATGATCCTGCCTAGATAGGAAGTGGGAACAAAAGCAGGAAGTGTGCAAAGCAGCCAGCCAGGCTGGCCGAGGGCTCCACCTGCGGAGGAAGGGGGTGTCGGGGAGCTGGTGCGGCTGTGGCCCCCCTGGGTGACAGACACGGCGGTCTTGACGGCATAGATGTTTGCCTCCTCTTGAAACTTCCCGATGTTTTTCTTATAGCGAATCCGCTTGTTGCCAAACCAGTTGGAGACCTGGGGGGTGTTGGGCAGAAAGGAGGGTCAGCTGGAGACCTTTCCCTCCGTATGACCCTCAGTCCACAGGGCCGGCGCTTCCTGCGGAAACGCCTCCGGGTACCTGAGAGACGGTGATGCCACACTTCTTGGCGAGCTCCTCCTTGGCCTCCTCACTGGGATACGGGTTACTCAGGTGGGAATAGAAATACTCATTTAGGACCTCGGTGGCCTGTTTGCTGAAGTTGCGGCGTTTCCGTCTACAGAGGAGGGAGAAGGGCGGTGAGGACTGCCGGGCCGGCAGGGTCTCTATGCTGCAGGCTCCCGGGGGCCCTGGGGGCAGCCTGGGGCTTGGAGCCGGGGCGGGCAGCCTGGGCCCCTGGGCCCCACCTGGCGTCCAGGAACCGGGAGCGCAGGATCATGACGGCCTCGCAGGTGCTCTGCTTGAGCTGCATCTGGATGGCGCTGAACTTCCGGTGGATGATGCTCACCATGCGCTCCATCTCCTTGGGTGCCACGGGCCGCGTGCGGCTCTGCTCCCTCAGCAGGTTCATGACGTGGGTCGTGAACTCGTTGCATGCCTGCAGGGGGGCCGGTGGGCTGTGAGGAGCCCTTTGGCCTTGGGGTCCCCCCTGAGGAAGCCCCGCCACCCACTCCAGCCTCCTCGCCTCACCTGCTCATACTTCTCCAGCTCCGAGTGGTAGATGTGGCGGATCTGGGCCAGCTTGCTGCGATAGTCCGAGTGTTCAATGGAGTTGTCAGGGGACACGCCGCCCCCGGAAGCTGCTGCGGCTGCAGCTGCTGCCGCTGAGCCCCCCCCTTTTTCAGGCCCAGCCACACCTTCTGCCAGAAGCATGTTGTCCAAGCGCATAAGCTGGGGGTCCACGGGCTCCTCCTCCTGGGAGCTTCGGATGCTGAGGCCTAGCGCGGGCGAGTGGACTTAGGGACCCGGGGACCCCCACACCCAGTCCTCTGCCCTCCTGAGACCCGAGTTTCTTTGGTTCCCTCCCCAGTACCCCCTGGACACCTCTCTGACCCCCACTCTCCGCAGGGCTCCACGCTGTCTAACTCTTGGCCTGAGCGTCTGGGGAACGGTTCCCTGCGTACCGGTCTTCTCCTTGATCTCACACAGGACGCTAAAGAGCGCTGGCTTCATCCGGTGGCAGTTCAGGGCGTGTTTCCTTGGAGGAACAAGAGAGAAAAGTTTAGCTACAGGAACGTGCAGGGGGACCATGAGGTGAGAGGGAGCCTGGGAACAAGAAGGCGGGTAGAAAGGGGCTGGGGGTGGATGGGGTGGGGTTCTTGGGGCGAGATCAGCTCCCAAAATGGGGACGTGGGGAAGCTGCTTGGCACCCGCCACCCAGGGAAGGTGGGGGCAGCAGGCTGAAGGCCCCGTGGGCAGCTGGGGGCTGTGGGAGACGGTCTAGAAGGGTGCAGAGGGGGAGTTTGGGGGTGACTGCAGATATGAAGGTGACTAGGTCGATTTCAGAAAAAGAGATGGAGACTGGGGAGAAGAGTCAGAGTTTGAGGTGCCAGAGAGGGGTTAGGGGTGCCGAGCTAAAGTGGAGGGATCGGCAGAGATGTGTGTGGAGGGTCCTGGGCTGAGCAGGGGTGGAGGGGGGTGAGGACACAGGGAGGCTGGGCCCTGGCCCAGAGGAGAGGCAGGAACTCTGGGGAGGGGTGTGGAGGCCCCCAGGTCTGCAGGGGAGGGTGGGCTGAGTGGAGCGTCAGGGGAGGAGCCAGAGGGGGCTCTGGAGAGGGAAGGGTGGGTCAGGGGGCTGGGGGGCCAGTGAGAGGTTAGGAGAGGGGGTGAGACCACCTGGGGTTCCCCTCCTTAAGGTTTCAGGGCCTGGGGGTGAAGAAGGGTTTGAGGAGTCACTTATCTGGGGGTTCCGGGAGCAAGGAGGAGAGAGCTGTGGGATCCTGGAGTTGGGGGGTTCGGAGACCGAGCTCGTGAATGGGCTTCTGCCGGTCTGTGGGGTGGGGGGCGGGGGCACTCACTTGGCCTGGGCCTCGTCCAGGCTCTGGTCCGTGATGGTCATTATCTGCTGCAGAATGTCCCCGATGTCCTGCTTCCCGCGGCCTCCCGGGACCCCCCCGCCACCCCCTCCGGGGTCTCCTCCACC